CCTCCCTAACTCATTTTATGAGGCCAACATCATCCTGATACCAAAGCCTGGCAGAGACACAACAAAAAAAGAGAATTTTAGACCAATATCCCTGATGAACATCGATGCAAAAATCCTCAATAAAATACTGGCAAACCGGATTCAGCAACACATCAAAAAGCTTATCCACCATGATCAAGTGGGCTTCATCCCTGGGATGCAAGGCTGGTTCAACATTCGCAAATCAATAAACATAATCCAGCATATAAACAGAACCAAAGAGAAGAACCACATGATTACCTCAATAGATGCAGAAAAGGCTTTTGACAAAATTCAACAGCCCTTCATGCTAAAAACGCTCAATAAATTCGGTATTGATGGAACATACCTCAAAATAATAAGAGCTATTTATGACAAACCCACAGCCAATATCATACTGAATGGGCAAAAACTGGAAAAATTCCCTTTGAAAACTGGCACAAGACAGGGATGTCCTCTCTCACCATTCCTATTCAACATAGTGTTGGAAGTTCTGGCTAGGGCAATTAGGCAAGAGAAAGAAATCAAGGGTATTCAGTTAGGAAAAGAAGAAGTCAAATTGTCCCTGTTTGCAGATGACATGATTGTATATTTAGAAAACCCCATTGTCTCAGCCCAAAATCTCCTTAAGCTGATAAGCAACTTCAGCAAAGTCTCAGGATACAAAATTAATGTGCAAAAATCACAAGCATTCTTATACACCAGTAACAGACAGAGAGCCAAATCAGGAATGAACTTCCATTCACAATTGCTTCAAAGAGAATCAAATACCTAGGAATCCAACTTACAAGGGATGTAAAGGACCTCTTCAAAGAGAACTACAAACCACCGCTCAGTGAAATCAAAGAGGACACAAACAAATGGAAGAACATACCATGCTCATGGATAGGAAGAATCAATATCGTGAAAATGGCCATACTGCCCAAGGTAATTTATAGATTCAATGCCATCCCCATCAAGCTACCAATGAGTTTCTTCACAGAATTGGAAAAAAACTGCTTTAAAGTTCATATGGAACCAAAAAAGAGCCCGCATCTCCAAGACAATCCTAAGTCAAAAGAACAAAGCTGGAGGCATCACGCTACCTGACTTCAAACTATACTACAAGGCTACAGTAACTAAAACAGCATGGTACTGGTACCAAAACAGAGATATAGACCAATGGAACAGAACAGAGTCCTCAGAAATAATACCACACATCTACAGCCATCTGATCTTTGACAAACCTGAGAGAAACAAGAAATGGGGAAAGGATTCCCTATTTAATAAATGGTGATGGGAAAATTGGCTAGCCATAAGTAGAAAGCTGAAACTAGATCCTTTCCTTACTCCTTATACGAAAATTAATTCAAGATGGATTAGAGACTTAAATGTTAGACCTAATACCATAAAAATCCTAGAGGAAAACCTAGGTAGTACCATTCAGGACATAGGCATGGGCAAAGACTTCATGTCTAAAACACCAAAAGCAACGGCAGCAAAAGCCAAAATTGACAAATGGGATCTCATTAAACTAAAGAGCTTCTGCACAGCAAAAGAAACTACCATCAGAGTGAACAGGAACCTACAGAATGGGAGAAAATTTTTGCAATCTACTCGTCTGACAAAGGGCTAATATCCAGAACCTACAAAGAACTCAAACAAATTTACAAGAAAAAAACAAACAACCCCATCAAAAAGTGGGCAAAGGATATGAACAGACATTTCTCAAAAGAAGACATTCATACAGCCAACAGACACATGAAAAAATGCTCATCATCACTGGCCATCAGAGAAATGCAAATCAAAACCACAATGAGATACCATCTCACACCAGTTAGAATGGCGATCATTAAAAAGTCAGGAAACAACAGGTGCTGGAGAGGATGTGGAGAAATAGGAACACTTTTACACTGTTGGTGGGATTGTAAACTAGTTCAACCATTATGGAAAACAGTATGGCGATTCCTAAGGATCTAGAACTAGATGTACCATATGACCCAGCCATCCCATTACTGGGTATATACCCAAAGGATTATAAATTATGCTGCTATAAAGACACATGCACACGTATGTTTATTGCAGCACTATTCACAATAGCAAAGACTTGGAATCAACCCAAATGTCCATCAGTGACAGATTGGATTAAGAAAATGTGGCACATATACACCATGGAATACTATGCAGCCATCAAAAAGGATGAGTTTGTGTCCTTTGTAGGGACATGGATGCAGCTGGAAACCATCATTCTTAGCAAACTATCACAAGAACAGAAAACCAAACACCGCATGTTCTCACTTATAGGTGGGAACTGAACAATGAGATCACTTGGACTCAGGAAGGGGAACATCACACACGGGGCCTATCATGGGGAGGGGGGAGGGGGAGGGGGGAGGGATTGCATTGGGAGTTATACCTGATGTAAATGACGAGTTGATGGGTGCAGCACACCAACATGGCACAAGTATACATATGTAACAAACCTGCACGTTATGCACATGTACCCTACAACTTAAAGTATAATAATAATAAATAAATTTAAAAAAAAAAAGAATCTAGTAGGAAAAAAAATGAACAGAATAGAAAGAATTAACATATAAAATATATGTAAATAAGAAAAAAAAAAAAAGAAGACAACACCACACGTTTATCACATTACACTGTTGTGTATTTACCCCTTGCCACTTTTGATGCATTTGCATATCATCTTTTATAATTCAATTCACTTGCTTAAATCATTTCTTTTATTTTTACTTATTTATTCAGAAGGAAAAGTTCATTTTGCAGATCACCGGGTCCTCCCAGTGGTGATCATCTGTAATTTCATACTCAAATTTTATTCTCGGAGCTCTAGGGTAATGGTATCTAAATCCTTAGAATATCACCTACTTGGTAGGAGCATGAAATAGAAGCAAAGCAAGCATTTTATTTCAGAGAGATTGCATCAACATCCCAGCTGAAATTTCTTCAGATGTTGGCTTTGACTTCTTGCATTTATCAAACTCCGTATTCAGTCATCTGCTTCGTAGAGATGACAATCAGTAGGCTTCAGGCTCTGCTGGTCAGCTCAAAAATCAGCCAGGAATAAGCACAATAAAGAGACTATCAGAGAGAAACACTTGTGATTCCTTTCCTCAATAACCTTGGGGTCTCTCACTCGGGTTTCCATTTCTACCATGCTGCTTTTGAAGTTGTGCCTGTGCCAGGTAACCATTTCTCACAAGAAGTTTTAAATACAATGTTTTCCCTTCTCTCCATTCTGGAACATTCAATGGCTGCCTTGCCTCTGCTCTCCTGTGGCAGTCAGCACCGTCCTCTTCACCTTATGCTCACAAGACAGCCTCTGACATTGTGGCAGCTCTCCAAGCCACCCCTCCTTCCCCCCTTCACCCACCACCCTGCTCCTGCATCAGCTTACATCGTGTCACCTGTCGGAGGGCTCCGGCCAGGGCTTGCGGCTTACTCTGCAATATCGCCCTCCAGGGACATAGGTGCCTGGTCAACCTCAGGCTAACAGGCACCAAAGGCTATTTCCACTTAGACAAGCACTTTGCTGCCAAAGATACTGGTGTCCTTCCAGTCTCCCACTCGGTCCCTTTGGCCTGGTCTTTGGCATTGGAAGGCTGTGCTGCCTGAGTCAATGCGGGCCCTCCCGTTGAAAGATTGCTAAAAGGTGGTTTCCAAGAACTGGTGTTCTCACATCACCCCATGGCTTAACTCTGCTGATTCAGGGAGAGTTCCCGCCTAGTAACAGACCTATAAACATCAGCACCGTTCACAGAATATGGCCACAAACAGATCATATGAGGTTTTAAAGTTCATCCCCACCCCCTTGGCCTTCTCTGCCGAAAAGTCAGCAGAGGGCAGCCCACATTTCATTCATTTCGTTCTTCCTGAGCCATTGCCCAAGCAAAAGAATAGCGTTTGCTTCCACCTCGGCACCTCCTTTATATAATAGGGTCTTTTTTGCTTCCCACATTGGTTGTTTTAAGATCAACATACACCTTTAAATTAATTGTTCTAATATGTGCTCCATATTCCTTGCAAAGAAAAACTTAGTGAAGTCTTCGCTGGGTATATATGTGGATTCATAAAATTCTACTCTTGGAGACATACTATGAATAGGAGTACATTTCTGCAGGCTCATCTCAAGAGTAGCCCACTTAAACTAATTTGTGCTCAGCTGGCAAATGAAGACAAGGTTTATGAAACCGGATAGCTCCAAATTAGCTGGGGAATAAAATTAAAATTTGGGATTTCCTTGCAGGGCTCAGAGTGGAAAACTTACACAAGGCCATACTCTGTAAACAGCACAAGCTTTGGTGCCATAGAGACAGAGGTTCCCATCCCAACAACTGCCACCCACGTGTAACCTGGGAGGAGGCTTATTTCTGCTGAGCCGTAATATCTTCACATATAAATTGGGGTAATGCCACTAGGGTTGTCAGGATGATTCAGTGAGATGCTACATTGGAAATCTCTAAAACAGTCCTGAAAGCAGTGAGTATTCCACTAATAATGGATATTACTTCAGCAAAGGTTCGTAGAAGCTACAATCTTTCCAGCGAGTCATCGCAACAAGTCACTCCTATTTGCCCCCAAAGCTTAGCACACACACTTCCTTCTGCCTAGAGCATGTCCCGTCTCTCCTCTCTGCCCTCACCTCCATCTCCTTCACCCAGCTACACCTTCCCCCAGAAGCCCTCACTATGCCCTGATTGTGCACTAAGGTCCCACTGCCAGGACACCCAGAACTGATTGGTTTTCATGTATTTCCCCTACCAGGCTATCCCCAGTTCTGCCTCTGCCCATCTGCACTGGGCTCATGGTCTCCATGAGGACTGGCCCTGACTACCTGTTCACTATTGTGTCTGCAGCCTCTGCTTGGCACATTGTGGGTTTTCAGTAAATACTGAATAAATAAATGAATGAATGACAACCATTAGAGGCTGCCAAAAGAAGAAAAACTAAAATTCAAGGAAAGTAAAAGGGAATTGCATTAATTATTCTTTATTCAACTATTTATTATGCATTAATTAATAGTTGCATACTTATAATTACCTTTCATCCTCCTTGAATTACTTCTTCAAAAAAATATGAAATCTATTCCCAAGAGTTCTAGCACTTTGTTCCCCTGACCCCTTGAATGTTGCACAAAATGTTACCTTAATTTCTTTCCAATACATGATTACAAAATGTTTTTATTATGCTTTACATCTTCTAATTCTTAAATTGACTATCTATTAATCACAGAGATACTAAGGAATGAGGAAGTCCTTGGTAGAAAAGTGTTAATAATTTACCAGTTGCCAACTGTACTTTTACCTCTGCATGCCAGGTAGGTAGAAGCATTACTCATGTTTTTTAATCTAAGAATTTCTTACATTTTTATGGCCTGTCCTTTGGGCTTATTTATGATGGTTTGTGACAAAGAGACAACCTTTGCCATTAAGATTCATACTCTACTAACAAAGAAAACGCAGAAGTAGATAAGAAGCCCAAATTGAACCATGGCACTAGATAAGAACACCCAAATTAAATAATGACACTAAAAATTAAAAAAAAAATTCCAGTGAAGGTAATTTAAAATTAAAACAAACAGTATAAACATTGCAGACTATGGACAATGAGAATATAGAAATTTTCAAAACATAAACTACAAAATCTAGCATTTGCCAAATAAGTCACTTTAAAAATTTTATACTTATATTTGTAGTGTCATGAAATAATGCCCAGCTATTAAAATATTTTAATGGCATGTTTTAATCTCATTCTTTTGTGCCTTTGTTTGAAAAACCAAGCAATATTTTTTGGTTTGGTAAAGTGTTCTTGGTTGGCAGAAGATATTCAGTATTTTTCCGTTTTTCCCATTAATACCATTTATCACAAAACTGACCTGGATATCTGTTATTGTTTTTAATAATCCCTTGAAATTCCTTGATGGTAAATGCCAACTTGATTGGATTTCAGGAAAAGACAATTGCCTTAGAAACAAAGAAACAAACAAAGACAACAAACAAAGAACACAGAGGTCTCTATCATGAGAGTGAAAGCACTGATCATGATAGAGACCAAAGGTTAGTTCAGTAGAATAAGCAGTCAACAGTGTATGCCCAGCAATCTAAATACTACACAGCCATATGCGACCTGAGTAAACACAAATGTCCAGCTCAGGAATCCTTCAAAAAGGAGTTAATATGACCTCACAACTAATTGATGCTAACCAAGGCACCTAAGACACAACTATCCCGTTAATACTATAGTATAATTATACAGAACACTGTCTTTGATTTTGTGTGGAACTTCAAAGCAAAGCAAATACTGACACTGGACTTGCAGGTAATATCCAAGACTTAATTTCACATCACAGACTCAAACATAGTGATATCTGGGTGTGGAACTCATTCGCAAACCACTTCCAGGCTTCATAAAGAAGATAGAAGGAACTGGGTCCACACACATACATACTAACACAAATGCCTATAATTTTTAAATTTTGCTGTGCCTGTATTCCTACTAATACTTTTGCAAATCATTTACTTGCTCCATTCCCAACTGTATTTCCTGTTATCGCCTTATAATTTATATGTGCCTTAAAAGTACATATTGTTGACCATTTTTATTTTCTTCACCTACAGATTTCCATGAAAACTAAATTAAAATGAAGTAGGAAGAAGCACAGTCTATTACATTTCTTTTAGTCTTATCAATAAGCTTACTTGTCTGATTTACTTATGGTTGACTTTAATTCTTTTATATCTATGATCCAAGGTCCCCAGCTTGTTTTCAAAGTTAATACCTGCAAATCTCTTCTTGCAGCTAAATTCCACTCAGTGGATGTGTTTTATTTCCAAATGATACTTAGAAATTATGTGTCTGTTCATGTGCAATGGTGCTACCTAAACAAATGAGACATGGTCTCTGTCTATAAAGACCAGGCATCCACTGAGAACGCCAAGCTCCTAGACTCTGAGGCCTTAACGAAAGAAATGGAACACTCCATTCTGTTATTGCTTCCTCAGCTTTTTTCTTCCACAATAGTGAGCTTCCTATTTGGCTGCAGATATGTTAGGAAGTTACCCAATGTCACCAATTCTTTATCCAAAAGAAAGGGAACAGAGTATGAATACGGAATGAAAAAAAGCTTTTTTTCTAAATTCTGGTAGACAAAAATTGGTACAAATCAAAGAGGATACATCATTACATTCCAAGATAGACGGTTTTAGTGCAGTACTTAGTTTCCAAAGACAGTTGATACAGTCTAGGGAACAGAACTCTCATGGTTACCTGTGTGTAATTTTAAGCTGCAGAGAATCTCCTGCAGGTTGGGGTGTCTTCTATGGAGTGATAGCTATTCTGTAATAACCTATATTAAAACCTTGACAATCAGTAAGTTCATTCTATTGGAAATCCAGAAAGTTACTGAAAGAATTGGACCAAGGTTTTTAATAACATAGTCTAGCTTGTCAAAAAGCCAGATAAAAAGGTGCGAAAATTCACAGTATAACTCCCTTAGATTGAAGTTAACAAATCAATTCCCAGTCGTTAAAATAAAAAAAAAAAAAAGTAAGGTAGAAAAGGTCTACTCCAATTACATCTTTTGAAATTAAATTATTGTAAAATTGGATCTAAAAAGTATGGAGAAACTGCAGCAAAAAGACAAAAGAATAAAAGAATGAAGTGGATAATAGAATGAAGTGGAAAAGAGGGGCATGGTGTGTGTGGGTGGGTGTTAAACTTTGGGAGTGAATGCTATAAACAGAATAAAACAATGAATCCGGAACACTGCGTTTGACAGATTGGCACATAGAGAAAGATGAACTTTACAGAACTGTATGTTTAGTTTGGTCCTAATGCTGTCTTTGAAAGGACACCTTATGTATTCTACCTAAAAATAACTTAGTAATGATATTCAAATATTTTCTTAGCAGAGGAGCCATTTTTTCATTTGTTACCCCAAGGTTTCTGCTGCATTTCCAACTCTCAGGCTCCCAGAAACCTCTAGAGGCAGCGTTCAGGAGCCTTGGAACTCTACTGACCAGTTCAAAAACCACTGTGGTATTAAATTCATGTTGTTCAAAGTCAACAGATACGCATACAACTGGAGTTGGGGAGAGCGTGTAGAACCTTCAAAATCATCTCAGTATACACACCCATATGTGATCTCTTAATGACTCGGGGCCTAGTCCTTGTTCTACCCTCTGTCTAGTCTTTTTGTTCCCTGAGGGAGCTTCACAAACTATCTCTAAGCTGTTGACTATAAATTTATGCACAGTGACTCAGCACTGACTCTTTCTCCCACACACTCTACACTCTACATGGTGGGAAGGTCTGTTGACTCTGGCAGCCAAACACATCTAGAACTGGCCACTTCTCGCCACCCCAATGCAGGCTGCCACCTCAGATTGCGGTAGCCTCTCCCTGGTCTCATCTCTCCCCATTCTAGTCTCAAAATGACAGCCAGAGTGGTCCTTACATGAGGAAAGTTTCTTTGACTCCTCTACTCGCAAAACCATTCACAGATTCTCCATTCTACCAGAAGAAAAGCCAGAGCTCTTTCTGAGGCCTAAAGGTCATGCTGGACCCTGTGATAAGCCACCCAGATCCTCTTCAGGGTGACCTAACCCCTGCTGCTGGAGCTGGTCAATGTCTTCAGGACTGCCTCAGCTGAAGTCACCTCACCCAAGGTCACAGAGTCTTCCCAGGGCAGCCCATATCCAATGACTGGGCCACACAGGGTCATCAAGGCCCAGACATATCTTTCCAATCAGGGCAACTCCAGAGGCCACTCTCAGGCCAGTGCTCTGTCTGGGGGTCACATCAGACTGTTACTGGGCCTGCATTGCAGTTTGACCTGTTTCTGTCCTACTTCCTTCCACTCCTTTCCATAGGTCTTCATTTCAACAGCACTCCCTAAAAAATGATCTGCTCACCCAATTCCCTCTCAGAGTGTGTTTCTAGAGAACCCAGCCTGCAACACAGTCCTACGTGATCTAGCTCCCTGTAGCCTCTCTAAATACTTGCTCACTCTGCACCAACCTCTCCTGCTTGCTCTGTGCCAAGCACACTGGCCTTTGATATTTCCAGAGGATTGACTGGCTCCTTCCTCCAGATCCCTGCATGGTTGTTCCTTCTGCCTGCAACACCCTTTCCCAGACACCTGCACTGCTACCTCCTGTCAGCTTCACCTAAACATCACCTTCGAAACAAGCCTACCCTGACCTACTCACATAGGAAATACAAGTTTTAAAATGGAACAGGTCTCATTTTTTTTCTCATGTATTTGTTTATCTTTCTGGATATTTATTTCATTTTTGAAGGAATGACTTCACCTGCTTTTAAAAGCTTGAAAATTCTTGTTTTAAATATATAAAGACAGTGCAGTGGTTAATACAGGATTTGGGCTTGTACAGACCTGGACTTGAATGTCGTAGCACTACCACTCTGCAGCTATGTAGCCTGGGGACATCTCAGCCTCAGTTTCTTTATCCGTGAAGTAGGGATAGCATAGCTTCTACCTCTTAGAATGGTTATGAGGATTAAGTGACTTTATGTAAGTAACAGACTGTGAAAATGACAGAGATCCATGTAAACATTGGGAATTATTGAGAGATTGTCCTATGAACCACATGTACTAAAAAAATAAAATAAAATACACTGGAGTATATTTGTAGCCTGACTTTCTGATCAGAGTTCTAGAAAATATTCTTTTCAACTATACTCAACCTGGAGTGGACAGAAAACTTTCACCAAAGCAGAAAGGATTAATTCTAGAAAGGAAAGTATCACCCAGAGGGCACAGTAACAGCCTAAAAAATGTTACTGGGGACATGGCAGAGTAATTGCCAAGCAGTGTCGTCTAGGCAGTTACATAGTACAAAATCCTAATTCTTTGCTCTTTTTGCACTGACTTTAATTACTACAGACTTTATTCTACTCTAAGGAAATTCTACTCTAAGGAAAGTTTATGTGAAAAAAAATCATATTGTATTTCAAGTATCTAGATGTATATATGTTCATCAGAAGAGCTTTAAACTTTAAAACCAGCTATATGTCTGATTATCTGAGATCAGAGACCTAAATCTTTTCATACATATTTTTAACCCAAAGTGTTTATGCTTATTTCTGTTTTTGTGATACAAAATAATGATTGTTGGCTTAAAACAAAACAATAACTTCTCCAAAATCTCAACAATTTTTGCTTGTGTTCACTCATTTTTCATTGGACAGAATAAAATGTCCTCATCCATGACCTCAAATCCACAAGCTTGACTGATTTCAGAGGTTACATCAGAGGTCCACTCTGCCAGGCAGAGATGATAGACCACCTATAAGATAGCACTAATGGAAACCACAAAAGTCTGAGATTTACCATTACATTATGTATCTGCCTGTTCAGATTTATTTGCAGATCCCACTGTAGTCGATTTCCTTATTTCTAAAGAGAGAATCATAAGCTTATGTTTAAAAGAATTAATAACAAGTTTCACTGAAGAGATATCATTAAAAACTATCATTTTGTGATTATACATTAAAAATAATAATTGCACCATTGATTAAAATAATAATAAATGGTGATATAAGGAATAAGGACAGCAGACAATGACAGCACAGTGTGACTTTGCCAAGAGTTTCTATTACTGCATGAGTAGAAGGCAGGCCTGGGTGCTGATGGAGACAAACTAGGAACAAGTTACCCCCAATCCTACAGACTCACATGCAGTATCTGGAAAAATTACTGCCTGGGGTGAGGCAAATTTGGGAAACTGTCTTTTATTCTCATAGTGGGGTGTGTGTGTGTGTGTGTGTGTGTGTGTGTGTGTGTGTATGTGCATCTGTGTGTGTATTTGCCCTTGGGAAACTCAATGGCACATAAGGTTATTCAGGGTTTTCTTTCAAGTGATTATTTGCTAAAAATTGCCTTAACCTTTCCACGTCCTCACTGAGGATGTCATACACTCCTCTGGTTTTTCTTCACAGCTTTATACAACTTAATATTCAGGCTAGGGAAACTGGAAATTTCCTCCAGGTCAAACAACTCCTTAAATCTATCTATAAATTTATTTTCCTTCTCCAACCTGAATTTCATGGCCCAGAGGATGATGGTGGTTTCTTTGCACAGATGGTCAAAGGTAATGAGGAGCTCTTCCAAGAAAGGATGAGCGTAGACCACATCTGCTGCCAAAATATAGTCAAAATTATTAGAAGACCTGGGGAAGTTTGTATCTAAAGCTACTCCCCAGGAGAGTTCTTTAACCTGAGGCAAATGCTTGCTTTTCATTTTGGTGTTTCGGGAAATATTATATTGCAGGTTTCCAAGTAATTCGGGTAAATCTGTGGCCGTCACATGAGCACCTGTGAAGCAAAGGACAGTAGAGAAAGTAACCCTCATGAGATAAGGTAGAACAATCAAGAGTTTCAAGCCAACATGCACTTTGCAATTCTGCAAAATTGTTCATCCCCCCACACAACAAGACTCGTCAGTACCTATACACAGAAAGGGAATCCCATTTAAATGGATGCTAAAGCAGCTATATGCCTCTGCTTAAAGAGAAAAAAAAGACAGAGACCCATGGTACTTTTGCGCACCACTGCATTTTTTACGTTCTCCTGGTTTTTTTTTTCTGGTATGTTTTGCTGTTACTATTGTTTTTGTTTGCTATTTATCTACTACATACTAGGAGAAAAATAATCAAGAGAAAGAGAAAGTCAAAATATTTGGCACCCTCACTGAAACAACGAGAAGTCATTGATGGAAGAATAGGTACCTCCCTAAAAGAATTCTGAGCCTCAGTCGTGTGAGACCAAGTGAGTGTATGCAACATCGGACATCCTATAGTTGAACAGGAAGTGCTCAAGTGAGAAGTGGAGGGAGGAAAGAAGGCCTTTCCATGGCATTACCTGAAAAGTATGATGACATCCATGCTATGCCCAGGTTTTCAACTTGGCCCATCACAAGTGTAAATCTTCCCATCAAAAGATGCTAAAAACCTAGTCACAGCAAGTGTATAGTGCTCATAAAGCTACCGCTCACAGAAGAGGATGTAAACAATTTCCAGGATAGAAGTGAATAGTGATGGGTTTTTGAGGAAGAAATATGGCAGAAGCAAATCTGTAGAAATTTGGTCACTAAAGTAAGCTTTGAGCAGTAGCAAAGGCTGAAAATAATCTGCAAATAAATCTAAGATTGTCCAAATCTGCAGCATCAGAAAAGCACAGAGCAGGTAAAGAACAAGAAAGCAGAAATGGAAGAGAAGTCTAGTTCAGCTCAGACAAATAAGAAGCTACTCCTCAGCAGCAATATCACGAGTCTCTTGGCATCAATTGTATTTTGTGAAAACATTAAAATGGGAGGGAGATATGCCTATCATTGGTACACTCACAGAGATACAAGCCTTTACATTCTACTATGGGTGGGTCTATCATTTTCAACAAATCTTTTTTAAATCTCAGGGTAGGGAACACACCTTTGCCCATATTGAATGTAAACTCCCCCTAATATCTTTTTGCCTAGAGAGATAAACACTACCACTTTAAGCATACTGACTAATCAAAGTTTCTATCTTTTAATATTTGTTCCAAGTTAGACAAGCGGACTCAAGGGACCAGTTCTTTTTAATAAAACCAATGACTCCCCGAAGCACAAATTCTGCTCCTAAGTCAGGCTTTCAGGTATAAATCGAATAGTGACTCTGACCTATCCTTACTAAATGGAATAGTGACTTTGGCAAACAATATCAGGATACAGCAACTTTAAAAAAAAATGTATTTGGGAAGACTCCAAGAGACTTATAAATACTCTTATAAAAACAAATTTGAAAGTTGTAAACTGCTAAATGTTCAATTCCTCTAAAGATTTTAAAGTGGCAGGTGTGCACTTCTGAAGATCAAGGAAATCAGGATGGATCTGGGTAGCACACATCAGAGAAGGAGCTAAACTAAGGCAATGAGATAGATAACAATAGCAAAAAGACTGAACTGAAATAGGCTCAGGCATATATTAAAAACTATCACATGCTTAGTTGGAAAAGATGCTCGTGAGAGAACTCAGGGTAACAATAAAAAAGAATGGAGGTGGGTCAGGCACAGTGGCTCACGCCTGTAATCCCAGCACTTTGGGAGGCCCAGGCGGGTGGATCACCTGTGGTCAAGGGTTCGAAACCAGCCTGGCCAACATGGCAAAACTCTCTCTCTACTAAAAATACAAAAAAATTAGCTGGGCATGGTGGTGCGTGTCTGTAGTCCCAGCTACTCGGGGAGGCTGAGGCAGGAGAACCGCTTGAACCCGGGAGGCGGAGGTTGCAGGGAGTGGAGATCACACCACTGCACTCCACCTGAGCGACAGAGAAAAAATAAAAGAATGGAGATGAACTGAGAAAACAAATTCAAGGACAAACACCTAAAAATAGAAGCAGACGTGTGATTTTTGTGTGATTTCTAATACTCTCTCCCTATTCTAACACATGCTTTTTCATAAAAACATAGCACTTCAAAACTCAAAAAGAATCTACAACTACGTGGGAACACTGAAATGGTGCTAAAATTTAAAGTGCGTCTGAATCAGCAGCAATAGATCTGCCTCTGCCTAGTATTTCACATTTCTCCTCTTGCAACCAGAATGCTTCCGTGCACCGCTTAGTTAGAACACCTCATCTGAGGCTTGTGACAGTATTCCACAAGAAGAATTAATACAACTTAATGCAGAAAACTATGAAAGAAACCGGTAAGGAGACTTTACAATCTGTAGTTTCTAGATGAAGCCCATTCAAACAATTAAGGAGTCCCAGATAGGTGCAGGTCATAGTACACTGAATAGTAAAACAACTAATGATATTTGATCATCAAATTCTCTGACACTCCCTCTATTCAATCAGAAATATCTGCTTACCAAGTAAACTTGCCACAATGGAGACTAGTCCTGTTCCAGCTCCAATTTCAATCACGTTTTTGTCAACCATATTATACTGCTTTGCATTTGTTTCCAGGAAATAGCATAGAACAAGGGCCTATGAAAGTTAGAAAAAAGAAAACAGGGATGCTTGGCAAGTAATAACAGAAAGTAAAATTAAACTTTATTGGATAAATATGTCGCTAATGTTATGATATGTATGCATGCATATATGAGTATGTGAGAGTACTCATGTGTGTACCTGTACATCACTCCAAGAAATGTCAGCAAAAGTGCATCCTCTGAGAGGTTCAACATTTCTGTTAGAAAAATTCCTTGGGGATTACTGAGAGGAAAAGAGAGAGAACTAAAATAGTGGAATTCAGTTGCTTAGGTTTGATCATTTTTAAAGGAAGCAACTTCTGATAATACTAGTCATTTCCAAGTAGTGTGTGGGATCGGGGCAGGTGGGGTGGTGAGTCCACTACTCTTCACGGGACAGTTGGTAAAGGATTGAGGGTCTTTGAGGACATTCTACATGTGAGACTCATAAAGATTTCATTGCAATTGTTTAACTCAAATGGAACTAATAAAAGAGGAAATGAAAGTGTTTACTGCTCTAAACTCTTCTTTTAAAAACTGAAGAAGTAAACACCCTGTATTAATCCTACAAATTTTAATAAAGTCAGAAATACAATTAATTGAGGCCCCGTGGCCAGGCACAGTGGCTCACACCTGTAATCCCAGCACTTTGGGAGGCCAAGGCAGGTGGATCACCTGAGGTCAGGAGTTCCAGACCAGCCTGGCCAACATGGTGAAACCCCATCTCTACTAAAAATACAAAAATTAGCCGGGCATAGTGGCAGGCGCCTGTAATCCCAGCTACTTGGGAGGCTGAGGCAGGAGAATCATTGGAACCTGGGAGGCGGAGGTTGCAGTGAGCCGAGATCATGCCATTGCACTCCAGCCTCAGGGACAATTGTGAGACTTTGTCTCAAAAAAAAAATTGAGGTCCAGGGTGGTGGCTCACGCCTGTAATCCCAGCACCTCGGGAGGCGGAGGTGGACGAATTACTTGAGGCAAGGAGTTCGAAACCAGCCTGGCCAACATGGTGAAACCCCATTCCTACTAAAATTACAAAAATTAGCTTGGCGTGGTGGTGCACGCCTGTAGTTCCAGCTACTCAGGAGGCTGCAGCAGCAGAACAGTTTAAACCCAGGAGGCAGAGGTTGCAGTGAGCTGAGACCATGCCCCTGTACTCCAGTCTGGGTGACAGAGCAAGACTCTGTCTCAAAAAAAAAAAAAAAAGAAGAAGAAGAAAAAGAAAATAAAATAGAATTATAGAGTTAATTGGGAGAAGTAATTTCCCAATCACATGATTTCTAAAACATAGTATTATTTGAGGTCACAAAGAAGGAATATGGAACCTGTTTTCTTCTTCCAAATAGAACATAATAACGAACAAAACTGGCTGGAAAAATAATTGGAATGTAACAAATTCTGTATGAAATTATACCGATGGCCAAACAACAGCACCGTAACAATCCATGGCCTCAGTAATTCGAATCTCATGACCAATAAAATGAAAACTTTCCCAGGAAGTAGTTGTTATCGAAGTCGGAATAAAACATCTTGCCATGATCTCTGTGACCACCTGCTTGTCATCATAGTCTTCTCTGGTCTCTGAAAGGAAAAGAAAAAGGTAATAGTTGTATAAGTAAATCCATGAAAAGAGAAAAGAACTTGACAGAAATACAGCATTTCTGCTTAGACTAAGGAGCTTTTGAATTGACTTTAGGTGAGAAATAATAAGGTAAACTATTTGAAAATGACTCATAATGCAAACTAATATTGCCATTCATCAGGGTGGCAACATCTTTATTATTTTTATGGGAGCTGAAATCACCACTGTCTACTTCTGCAGTGCTACATGCAACAAATAATAATTGATGCACTTTTTTAAAGCAATGTATTTTAAGAGCCACCAATCAGTTCATATAGATTAAGAGAAAGATTGGTGATGGAATATAAGAACCCACCTCTTCATATTGGCCACCCAGTGCAATCCTAGTTGTTCTGTGTCCCAGGCATGGTGCTGAGTGATGGAATATAGTAGCTAGCCAAATAGACATGGTCCCTGCCCTTGGAAAAATTGGAAATCCACAGACACAAACATTGGCATCCCTATGAAGAATTGTTGGATTGGATGAAAGTGCTTTTCCACAGTACTCCCAACGCTCTTGGCTCTGGTGCCCACTTGGATAGACATTTCTAATAAATGGTGTGTTCTCAGCTTTGCCTTGATGAACAGTTTTGTCAATGGTTTGACTAACTGATGACATTACAAGTATTATAAAGTTTTCAGAATATATAAATGTGATGGCGACAACAAGTATAATAGAAAACTAAATGTGATGGAAAATTTCTTGAGTTATAACAATGAATTGGCCTTAACAATGTGAAATCTAACAAAGATAAGTCTAGAGACCATATTCAGCCTGAGTTTAGCAGCACTGTGTAGGGGGTGGGGACAGATAGATACATTTACTTCGCCACAAGCTCAATATGAGTCAAAAGTTTAATATGACCATCAAAAAATCGGTGCACCTAGCCCACATGAAAAATATAATTTCCAAAATCAGGGAGGTAGAGGCTTTATTTTACACCAGTCAGATTATACTTGTACATCCAGTTAGAGAAGGCCCACTTTAGAGGGACAATGAGAAATCGTAGCAACCGAGAGGTCAGAAATCTTGAAACTCACCTTATAAGGACAGTTTTGGGGAGTTCAACACGTTCATCAAAAAGTAAAGATCTGAGTGAACACAAGAGTGTTCAAAATTTGAAGGACTAGAAAATAGAGGGTTGGGGTGCATGCGTGTGTGTGTGTGTGTGTGTGTGTGTGTGTGTGTGTGTCCTGCTTAGAATACAGACAGAATCATGTACTCCTCAAAAGAACTCCAATTTAACCATACCCACAGGAAGGCCCAGCCTACCACCCACCTCTACCACTACTGCAAACATTGACCCTTGACAGAGATGCAGGGGAAACAAAGAAATTGAAATTTGGTATTTTTCAGCAAGAGCCTTCTCTTCTAATATTTTTCACTGTACTTCACCTTAAACAACTGTATGCATTCATATTCAGGAAGAGCTCTAAGAACCAAATAATATTGGTAACGTGTTTTATTTGAACTTTAACTTCTATTTCACTATATGCACTTGCCTTGCTAAGACTAGGGGTGCAGGGGGAGGGCAACACTTGCTGTGGAAGTTCTTTAGGGAAAAGTAGAGAACGTTAATTGCTTTCTTGACCTTTAACTGAATTTGTCCTCTTGGGCCTCCTTGCATACTACTTGTAAATGTAGCACTTCTATGACAAGTCACCTAAGGTATCAGGGATTAATAGATGTTACAGTACACTAAGTCCCAGGAACATCTTCAAAAGTCCCAGTCTTTGATATACAAACTTTGGCGGTGAATATTTACTGATACAACCTGACATCTTTGACTTTGCATGTTCTTTTAAAGGTTAGTTGGCCAGATTAGTGCTCCTGTCCTAACAACTACAGAGGAATAACAAATGAATTCCTAGCTTTTGACTGTGTCCTTCTGAATAGAGTTATTTCATTCTAAGAATGACCCCATCTTTACATAAATCTCATATGGAAATGAGATTTAAAAATATATGAATATATTATAATTGAAAATTACTTACACTCCTAAAACAAAGAACCTTCAAAGAGATTTCATGAAATGAATATAACCACTACTAATTGCATATACATTTTAAAAAGAGCACAACTATATCACTCATAAATGGTAATGCAAAATTAGTTATACACCTAAGATGGTCATGTATCACAGAAAACATTATCAGGTTGAATAAAATTTAATTGATAATGCTTTATATTAATATTCTCTTTTGCATTTAAATATTATATGAATACTACAAGCATCCAACAAGTAGCCTTCATAAATTAGCATAATTTACAGCATGAAACCCAAATAAACTAAACTTGGCTGCCTAAAATAATTTGTCTAAAGGGGGATATGCTCTTTGTAAGTACCATGCTGATAAAATCATAAAAAATTCTTTTAGAGGAACGATGATCAAAATGAAATTTCTTTACGACAAGGAAAAAAATAATAATTTGTCTAAAAGTGTAAAACTTTAAAAGCAAACATATACACATAAACACACAATTATTTCCATGTTAAAACATTGGTTGCTGTTTTCCAGTGTGAACTACTATTTAAAGATTTTGAGGTAATAGTTTTTTTCTTTTTTTGTTGTTGTTTTGTTTTTTGAGGGTTTTGTTTGTTTTGTTTTGTTTTTTGTTTTGTTTTGTTTTGACAGAGTCTGGCTCTGTCACCCAGACTGGAGTGTAGTGGCACAATCCCAGCTCCCTGCAACCTCTGCCTCCTGAGTTCAAGTGATTCTCATGCCTCAGTCTCCTCAGTGGCTGGGTCAACAACCACACGCCACCACGCCTGGCTAATTTTTGTATTTTTTTAGTAGAGATGGGGTTTTACCATGTTGCCCAGGCTGGTCTCCAACTCCTGAGCTCAACTGATCCACCCACCTCAGCCTCCCAAAATGCTGGAATTACAGACATGAGCCACCGCACCCGGCCTTGAGGTGATTGATAGTTTTAACGGTAATTCTTTATGTAAATCAAGACATGTTTAATATTAAGCTCTAACAATAACACCACCCATTTCAAGGTTGATAATAAGAATCTCTAAACTAGAATCTAATGGAAAGAGCTGCCCTATGATAAAGGCATCCCTACAGCAGCCTTGTTGTCATAAAAAGGAAAAAATCTGTGCTCCAAATAATTTACAAAGAACAGGCCCCTTAAACTGCATGTATATTTAGTTGTTGAATATGAGTCAAATATTGAGAAGATTGGTGAATTAGTAGATAGTCTGGTTTTTAAGATTTGAAGAGTAATTCCTACAAAAATTAATAGCATTGTCATACAACGGAATTTTAATATACATTTCTGAAGAATAATTTTTCCACATATATTCTTTCCTCATTATCTAGCACTTTGCCCCCAGGACAAACAACAAAAACCAGATAATATTACCCAAGATTCTGTACATCGGCTTCCCTAAATGAGAAGCAGAAAACTTCTGATAACTGTACCTTCAGATAAAAGCTATCTACTATAGTTTTAGAACATTATTTGATTGGTGAATTGAATATTAAAACACAAATATTAAAATAGATTGTAAATAAAACATAGTCAAGGCAGAGTACTGCAATTATGTTGCTATCTTGGGCTTATGTATTTTAATCCTTTTGATACAAAAAAAGTCTTAACATCATTTTCCTGCTATTCAGTCTTTGGTGATGCTGAATAAAATCTACCAGGTGCTCTTGTTCTCCTGAGAATTAAAGGGGTTTCAAGTATAAAGTGAAAAGTAGCAAGATTCTGCTACATTATGAGGATGATTTTAAGAGGAAAATTCAACAATGAATTGACTTCAATTCTGGATTACAGCAAGCCTTCAAAAATAGAGGCTTTGTCTATATTATTCTCTTCTATAGTTTTAAGGTCAATAATAGCAATAATAAGTGGAAGGGCCAGATCACAGAAATGCATCCCCCCCACAAAAAAAAAAAAAAAAAAAAAAAAAAAAAAACTCTTTAATAGCTATGACAAGTGAATTCAAGCTTCCATTTGAGGGCTGTCATGAAAATCTGCCAGCAAAATTTAAAGTAAAATCCCCTCTACTAAATGAAAGAAACTGTCATTCAAATGAATCTTCTATTCAAAGATGAATGTCATGTGCTTCTTAGAAATGCCTACAGATTTTAAAAAAAGAAGTTAAAGATATTTTCAGATTAGTAAATAGTCACAGGCTTAACTTAAAAGGTACAATTCTGAAAACCTCAGCAATGCCAAGGTCTTGGACCCTTATGTTGAAACCAATTCCTGAGAAGATTCTACAAATATTCTCTGTCTGCTGGTCTTCTTAGTTTCAAGAATGTATAGAGGTTGTAACTCTAATCAAGTAGACCATACAATGCTACATTTTGTCCTTACAAAAGAAAGAAAACGTATCTTTTATTGAGATTGCTCAGGATGCAAGTGGAAAAACAACATGAATTAGTTGTACTACAAGTTTGCTACTGGGATCATGGAAGGGACAGACAACGAAACAAATGTCAATAGCTTGATAAATGCTATACAACAAGTCTTTCTAAAATGCTATGGAAGCATGAGTGGTTGGTTGAATCAGGAGAAGTATCATAAAAGAGGAGATATTTAAGCCCAGGAGTTGTTAGAAGATCTATAGAGCGAGGGTACAAGGCTAGGGGTTTGGGCCAAAATCCCAAAAGACACAATTTCTGATGCCATAATCCCCAGTGTTGAATCCTGAAAGATCAAAACCCCAAATACATAATTCTGATAAAAATAATTTTAAAAGTTCTTTAAAACATATTTACATTTTTAAGAGTTTAGAAACATAAAAATACAACAGAACACTTCGTGGGCTACTTTATACAATAAAATTGGCAACAATAACATACATAATTTTGCAATCATAAGCACTCAGGTGTGCTACCCACAGTTACATGGGTATAACAGTTATAAGCAGACAAACTGTATTCATAAAGAAATCACTTATATAGTTTGGTCACTTGAAATATCCTGATGACCAACCTA